TCAGAAGGTCACTGAGAAAAGATTACTGAGACCTGAAAAAGAAGAAGGCATGAGAAAGAAACTCAGAATAACCCAACCTTGGTTTTGTTGAAGTAGGGCAGAGAGAAGCCTGGGCAAGCTTTCAAGGTTCTGTCATTCTACAATCAAGAGCATTCCTACAATCTCTTCCGTCCCTACTGTTGGACCCAACTGAGCCGGTGGGGACTGTCCCCCTTTCAGAGATGTGTCCATTTGAGTTTCAGGCGCATTGCAACTGTGACCCAAAGGCAGGGGTGGTGGAATGACAATGGCCACCCAAGACATTCTGCAGCTGGCCATAGACATGTTCTTCATGAAACTGGATTTGGGGGTGCTATTTGGGAGGTTGGGCTTATGAGACAAATTAGGGGTGCAATTAGGGGAGACAAATTAGTCTCCCTGATGGGCAGCTTCACCCTTGATGTTAGAGCTCCCTAGACCTTTATTTTGGGGGACTTCAACTTAACCCCCCGGGGAGGGAAGACGTGGCTCATGAGATTGTGGCCACCATGACAACCATGGGCCCATCCCAGGTGATAATTGGCCCAAGTAACTACATATTAGATCTATTGTCTTGAAGCAGCTGAGATAATATTCCCATCACCCCCTCCTCATGGTCAGATCACCTTTTGGTTTCTCTGGAGTTAACCTGTGACAAAGATTTCAGCATGGAAAAGGACATATTTGATCAGTCAACCATAGACACCTCATGGACCCTGGCGTTAGTTTACAAAATGATTAAATGAGTGTTTCTCAACCTTGGCCACTTTAAGATGGGTGGACTCCCACTCCCAGAATTCCCCTGGGAGCGGAGGTCCACCCATATTTAAGTGCCCAAGGTTGAGAAACATTGGATTAAATTCAAGATTTCACCAGGCTCCAAATTTAGGCAGATTGGCAGCTCCAGACTTTACATTGTAGTTGCTTAACATGGATTACTTCTGTGGAAGGGGCAAGACAGTCTGAATAAATCTCTCTGCTTGATATAGTCAGAAAAAAACCATTTACTGTATAATACTTCATGCAACAGTAAGTAATGCACTGATTATCTGGGATAAATACAGGAAAAGAATACGCCCAGATTTTTTTTTCTCCTCTTGCTTCATTATTAAATGTTTATTTTTATGAAGAACAAAACATGAAGAAAATTGTTCAGTGGAGAGAGAACAAGTCATTCAGATTGCAAGATTGGATTAATAACAAGACTAAGATAAAAATCTTTTGAGACTCTTAACTGCACAATAGCTGGGCTGGTTCACCTGATGGGTTTCAGTCTCTTGAAATAGATAGCATACAGTAGTGTGAAAACAACTGCAGAAATTGGGTTGAACTGAAAAAACTATGATTTAACACATGAATTAAGCACATCCAAAATGTCGATTTCTCTATCCTAGTTCATTTTTGAAGCATTTCCAAAACCCTGTTTTTCAGTAAGGTGGGTAGATTTTATTAGAACTTAAGGTCTTGGTGACTGGCTCACAGTTGCCGATATTCATGCTTTGCTTGGAGCTGAGTAACCATTTTTGCTCTTTCAAATACAGTATTGCGTTCTGTTATTCCCACCACACGCCAGATAGACTGAAAAGCAATTCTCGCCATGATGTAGGGAAGCCCCCCATTTATTCCTTTGCCCTTATTCTTTCCTCCCTTCCTCCTTCCTCCTGCTTGTTTCAAGCTCTTCTTAAAGGGACCGCTTCTCTAAAGCAGGGTTCCTCAACCGTGGCAACTTTAAGACGGGTGGACTTCCAACTCCCTTGCTGGCTGGGGAATTCTGGGAGCTGAAGTCCACCCGTCTTAAAGTTGCCAAGGTTGAGGAACCCTGCTCTAAAGAGCTGAGCATCCTCCACCCTTCCACGCAACTCTTCCTTCTCCCCAGCTCATGCCACCCAGCAAGGGGGCACTTTCCACACGGGCAGCAAACCTCGCCAACCCGGAGTCTTGTGGAGGGAGCACAGGGTTCTGCTGCCCAGGCGTCCCCGGGGTTCACTGGCCACACGGCGGGGCTGCAGGCTTGCAATCTCTGCCAGGGCTATGCCACTCCTCGCCACGAGCCACTGACGTCGCCTCTAGTCCCCTGCGGGGCCACCCAGGCTGTCGAGGGGAGCCCAGTGCGCCCCACTTTTGCTTCGGGCAGCAAGGTGGGCCAGGCTCCCCGGAGACTCCCGTGGCTGGGATGCAGTGGCTGAGGGCGACCTGGAGGACTTGCCCGCAGGCAACCAGGCTGGGCTGGAGGTCCTGGGGGGCCTGAACGGATGCTCCGCGAGGAGCTCCTTCCCATAACCCAACCTGGTTGGGCAAACCTGCTGTTCCTGCCCTTGGTTCAGAGTGTTGTGTGAAAACCACAGAGAAGGCAAAAGTGATCAATCCCATGATTATTGCTGTATCGGTTTCTGAGGTTAAGTAGCCGAGAGTGGGCCAGGGAGTTACCGAAGGGCATCGGTGGGGTGCCGGGTGTCAAGGACCCTGTGTCTGGCTCTCCTGGTTGAGTAAGCCTCATCATATTACAGAGCATGTCCCATGGAATTAAGTGGAGTCAATCTCTTGTGCCTCCAAATTCTAAATGTAGAGACGGTGCCCAGAAATGTGCAGCTTCGGTAGGCCACCCAGCATTTCCTCCCTCAGACCACCCAGCAAGATCCACCAGGTGGTCCCTTCGGTGCCCAAAATGGAAGAGGAAATGGAATCTGCAGCCTCTGGAGAGATGCATTGGGCCTTGGGAATGGGGCACCAGATTTTTTTTTTTAACTAATAGTTCTATATTGGGAAACGAGTAGTGCAATCTTTGTATTTATTTACAGGATTTCTAGAATGGCTTGGTAGGCAGAAGTATAAGTCCTCTGTAAGGTTGTGCAAAGAACATTTGATCTGGTCCAGTGTTTCTCAACCTTGGCAAATTTTTTGCTTTGGGCAGCCAGACAGGCCGGGCTCCCCGGAGACTCCCGTGGCTGGGATGCAGTGACTGAGGGCGACCTGGAGGTCTTGCCCGCAGAAACCAAGCCACCAACTGGGAGGTGTGTGAAAAAGATACGCTCGGGGCTTAATTTTGGACTGTTGGAGGGGGGCGATTAGTTTGCTTCTCAGAGGCCTCTTGTGCTGCTCCCACTTTTTAAAATTTGGGGGGAAAAAGAGTCAAATTTGTCCTAAAAGGAGGTCTTACAGGCATTTGAAGGCTTAAGAATAAAAATGTGAATGAACTGCTGCTCAGTTCCTATTCCAACCTTAATTTAAGAAGGAAGGAATTGCCCATCTGAAATTTTGCCACCCAACTTTGGACACGCCGTCCGTATGTTGCTGAGGGTGCTCGCAGCCCAAGAAGCTGAGAGTTACCTCCCCTGTTGCAAATCAGAGGCCTCCTTGCAGCTCCCCCCTCAAATTCAAAGGCGGTTTCTCCACAAGGGCCACATCTGAATTCATCTTTCACCACAAGCCAAAGGAGCCTGCTTTTAAAATCTCGGTGGCAGAAGAACGTTGGGTGGAATGTAGGTAGCACTCGTACACTTCACATCTAGGTTTGCACAATAAGCGCGTAATAGAGTGGAATCCCACATGGCAATCCTAGGCCTTGCACCTCTCTAGTCACCCAAGAGGCAATGGCAAAGTTGGCTCTCACGGTTTTACTGTACAGTCCAGGCTTACACTGCGTGACTTCCACCTCTTCCCAAAATGGAATGCCTTCGTGGGCATCTGTTTGACTCAAATGAAGAGGTGGACAGACTGTCAGGACCAGGTTGAAGAGACTATGCGTGGAGTTCTTTTGTGACGGCTTTAAAAAACTTGTCCGTCGTTGGCAGAAGCATGTAGCGAATGCCGGTGATTACGTGGAGAAGTAAATGCAGGTAATTTTAAGGATCTGCTTGGGTATAGCATGTTATGAAAACAAAGCAATTGCATTTTGTGAATCTGGATTTAGCAAACCCGGTACCTGAGTGACAAGGTGACCAAGGAACGTGTCAGATATTCATCATGGGTGGATGACCCCGTCCAAAGCGTGCTGATTAATGGCTCCACTTAGATTGGAGGACCATAAGGCTCTGCCCAGGGCCTGTGGTCTTCAACATGACTTGGATGGACATAAGGGGACACCCGAAGTTTGCAGATCATGCCAAGTTGGGAGGGGTGGTGGTGTAGATAAATTTCAAGGAGATCTAGACAGGCTTGAGCAGTGGGCTGAAATGAATTGGATGGAATTTAACAGGCAGAAACATGAATTTCTGCATTTGGGTAGGAAAAAAGAAAGGCGTAAGTGTAGGATACGGAAGACCTAGCTTGGCAGTAGGACGTGTGAAAGGGATCTGGGCATCCTCGTTGATCACCAGTAACACTAGCCAGCAGAGTTGTGCAGCTGCGAAAAAGGCAACTGCTCCCTTGGGATGTGTTAACAGCAGCATAGAGTCCACGTCCTGGGAAGTCATTGTTCCCCTCTCCATTGGCCGGTTCAGACCCTATTTGGAATCCAGCGCCCAGTTCAAAAAGGGCCATGACAAATTGGAGCAGGCTCAGAAACGGGGACCCAAGATGTGAAGGACCTTGGAAACCAAGCTGTTTCTGGATACGTTTAACTTGCAGGAGAGACAAGAGAGATAGGATTTAAAAAAAAACCAAGTTGTGTCAACTCTCAGTGATCACACAGACTTTCTCATGGATGATCTGTCCCAACCTGGACCTTCAGGTCTCCCAGCAACTTGCCCACGGCCACTCTACTCAAGTCCATCCCACTTACTGCTGTGTGTCAGAGACCGGGCACAGCATTAGTACCTGGACGCCTTACGAGACTCACCAGCTGCCGGAAGGGAGGTTCTGGGTCACCACGCAGACACTCTTCCTCTTCGCCTGATGCCACCACCGTCCACCCTGCTTTGAGCGTTATGCTCTCCAACTGTGGGGAGAGCGCCAACGCAAGTCTGCCCAAATGGGCACCGTGACCCAAGGTTCTCCTCCCCATGGGCAGACCCGAGGCAGCCCCCGAACAAAAACAAACCAAAGTGAACCCAGCAAGGCAGCTATTTAATTATGTTCCTTTTTTCCAAAACGCAGGGTTTATTTAAAAAAGAGAAAAACAAAGAGAACTGCTATCCTGATCAATTGATGCATCATCTCGGGGAGAGGAAGACGGCGACTCCTTGGGGCCCGCTCCAGTCCTTGGCACTCTGCACCATGAGCAACCTTTCCTCTTTCCAGCAACGTGGAGCCACGTTAAGGGAACGTCAAGGAGCAGCCTTCCAGGCGGAAGGGAGCCCATCCGGGGAGAGGGAGGAAGGCAAGCGGGCGGGGGCTGCACAGAGCTCAACTCCCTCGCTTGGCAGGAGCAGGGCCTGGGGGGGGGATCATCCCAGGAGGTCCCAGTCACACTGGTGGGAGTGGGGAACTGTGCAACATAACTACGTGAGATTGCATGCAAGGGCAGGCAAGCTGGAGTCAGCTGGAGCGCACGAGCGAGAGGCGATGCTGAGCAAAACGGCAGGGCTGGGGGAGGGAGAACACAACTTGGGGATTATTTATTTTAGGGTCCTACGAACCAAGAGTACTTTTGTCAACGTCGAGCTTGGAGGGCCCAGCCAAGTCTGAGCTGAGAGGGAGCACTGGGCAATGTTGAGTGTCCTGAGCTGAGCCTGGCCCCAAGGGCGGGGACCCTGCTTTCTGATCCTGTACGAGAGAGACAAAGGCTGGCTTGGAAGCACTAGGCAGCTGGGAGTCCCAGCCTTCTGCTGTGCCCAAAAGGGCTGTGCCTTGACCAAGGCCCTCCCTGCCGGTTGGTGGCTTGTCAGTGGGTCTCCTTAATGATCACCTCCACGCCATGCTGTCGGAGCTGTGCTCGTAAAATCAGGTTTTTGTTTTTCAGATCTTCAACCTGTGAGCAGAAGGAAAGGAAAGAGCTGGAGCTGGGTTGGACGACAATTCCTAGACTCTTCTGGCTCTGAGCACTGGGCAGGTTTCTCAACCAGGGCAACTTTAAGATGTGTATCCACACACCTTAAAGTTGCCAAGGTTCAGGAACACTGCTCTGGAGAGTTCAAACTGGCACAGTGCCTGGACTTTCAATAGCAGTCATGGGGGGCAAAGGGAGAAATACACATCTGAGGGACCCCATCCGGCCATGTGACAGCAGAGCAAAGCAACATGGAAGTCTTCCTTGGTTAGACTCCATGGGACAACCTTCCCCAACCAAGATGTAAATATCAAGCCCAGAATTCTTGGCAATGGCCACGCTGACCAAGGAAGAGGCATTCTGAACTGCACCTGCACCTCCAGAGGGTGTCTAGGTGGGGGAAAGTTTGCAATTTCCTGATTGCTCCAGAACAGCCCATCCTAGACACTTGAGGGGCCCATGATGAGAAATCCAAAGCTGCAAGGGTTCCCTCCAGAAACAGGTGGGGCTCTCACCTTACCTGCTGTCGCAAGACTTCATTGTCCACCTGGAGCTGGTCCAGGCCCTGCAGTTCCTCAGAAAGACGGATGTTGTTTTGTCTCAACTCCTGAATATAGTCACAAGCTTTAGAGAGGATCCCTCCTTTACTCTGCAGAAGGAGGAAGAGAAGGACTGAACAGGAGAGATAATAACCCCATCAACTTTGAGGGAGCTGTCATTAAGGCTTTGGTCACCACTTTTAATGAAGAGATGGCTGAACCTTCTGGATAATCACTCCCCAAACTTCCTGGACTGAAGATTAGAGCCAGGTTGCTCTTGTACCGCCAACGAGCTAATGGCTAGATGCCCAGTAGATCACTAGCTAGAGAACAAGTAGTGCAAAATCTGCTACAGGGAGGAACCTGTGGCCCTTCAGGTGTCTGCTATATGACAACTTCCAGTAACTTCAGCCACATGAGCCAATGATGAAGGATGCAGATGTCTTGCAATGACATCTTGCAGCATCCTTCAGGAACCCCTCAAGTTCTAACCAATACAGGTAATCCTTGGGTTATAACGGCAATTGGGACTATAATTTTGGTCACTAAGCGATGCGATTGTAAAGTGTGATGTCATGTGACCATAATGCTTAGTGACAGAAAGTCCAGTCCCAACTGCTGTCATAACCCCACGACCATGCAAGTCATTAAGGAGGAAGAGGCAGGAGTCCCAGGCAAGAAGCAGGGGAGGTGTGCGGGTACTTGGGATGTGTATGTTTATGTGCCGTACGTGGGCACTGGGAAGCATGGATGGGCCAGTGAGTGCCAGGTGGGCTCTGGGGAGCGTGAGCAGGTGCTACTGAGTACGAGTTCCTGAGTACTCTGTAGTGGGGCTCCTCAGAAAAATGGTGGGAATGACTTATGGGAGCAACTTGCGACCTTCCCTGCCAGCTTCCCCATTGACTTCGCTTGTGGGAAGCTGGCAGGGAAGGTCGAAAACGGTGATCACGTGACTGCTGCTTGCTGCGATGTCATAACCGCAGGCCAGACACCTGAGCACCTGGATTGTGATCACATGACCGTGGGGACACTTCAATGGCTGAAACTTTGCAGACTGGTCTTAAGTCCTCCTCATTCAGTGCCGTTGTAATTTTGAACAGTCATTGAACGAGTGGTTGTAACTCGAGGACTACCTATATGATCAAATTCAAGTGAAAGCCCACCAGTAACCTTGGCAGTGAAGGTAACTGCTGAGAGGTCTGACCTCACTAATATCTCCACCATCACTAACCCCAAACCCCGTCTCCCTATAGCAAAACAGCTCAACTACTCTCACCTGCCCAGATTTGGTGTTCTCCATAGAACAGTCAGGAATGATCTTGGAGAGCTGCACAATCCAGTTGTTGATCTTGTCCCTGCGCCGGCGCTCCACTGCAGGACAGAAAAGGGTTACAGCTGGGTCACTCCTGGTTCTCAAGAGGAGCAGCTGCGCCATCCAGAACAATCCACTGCCCCAGCTCTATAGGCCGGCCATTTCCCCACACTTCTCTGACCCTGCTCACAGGAGCACAATGCGGTAATGATTCATCTCAACGTAACTTTAGTTGACCACAGTGGGTGCACGCGACAGTTTCTCATTCGCTGTCCTAGAATTCAGAGAAACCTTTCAGAACCCACAGAGAAATAAAATAAACGATTTGAAACGTGCAGCAATGGTTGCTTTTAGAGGGTACCCTCATGGGAGGACTCTGCTTCAATGATGAGCATGCAGGAATAATTAAGACATGAACTGAGAGGGAAAATATTACTGTAAAATATGCTGGAAGAAAAAATGGGTGAACCTGGAGGTCCATTCCCTGCCTTTCCATGCATGGGGGTGACTAAGATCGGATGGATAAATCTGTACCTGACTGGCAGGCAGGCAGACACTGTTGGATGATTGTATGGTGGTCTATGACTGTAATAAAGATTTGATTTTGATTTACTGGTTAACTGAAAGGCTGACTGAATGTTGCGTCAACTAAGAGCAAAGGGGCTGGCAAGTGCCACTGCTCTGTGGGGTGAGCTGAGGCAAACAGCGAATCACATTTACCACGGTAAGAGCCCTATTCAGGGCTACACCAGGCCACTGAAAGTGAAGAAACATGAACATTTCTCTACTCTTTTGCCCTCTCAGAATGCCACCCAGCAGCCATTTATAAAATAACCTAGATCCTATTGGGCACGGATGGGTGGGAAGACCATCTGCTGGACTGCTGCTAAGCATCTGGAAGATAACATTGAGCAGATCTAAGCAATTTTATGATATGAACAGAGCTAGTCCCGAGGAAGTGGTTAAGACTATGCTTTGCAAGGTTATGCTTTGCACGAGTTTGAATCTGTGAGTCCTGATGAAATAGACAGTGATCTCTGGCATCTGCTTTCTCACCTGTTACCTAAATCCACGTCCACCCTGCAGGTGACAACCTCTAGAGAAATGGGTGGGCTGGGTGAGGGCAGAGGTAAATCCATCCTTGCCTTGAAGAAGGTGATTGTGAACTCCTTCAAGCAGCTTTCATTTTGCCTCAGAATTTGCCTCAGAATTTCTGGACCAGTCTCCAATCTTTCCTTTCTTGGGAAGGCTGTTTAGGAGGTGGGGCTGCAGATCTCAGAGAAACAGATTATGTGGACCTGTTTCAGGCATGGGCACGGCACTGAGATGACACTGAACACTGTTATGGATGACCTCTGGCAGACTTGGAAGGAGGAGTGTGACCATCCCGGTGTTGCTTGATCTCTCTTCGATACCATAAATCTTGGTATTCTTTTGGACTGCCTTTGAGGGAGTAGGAGCACAGTTCTGCAGGAGTCCCTTCCTTCCTAAAGGGACAGTTCCAGTCGATGATAGCATCTGGGCAGAGATTAGGCTATTATCAAGTGCCACAGGGCTTGATGCTCTCCTCACTGCTATTTAATATCTAGCCAGTGGGAGATGTCATCTGTTGACCCAGAATTAGGTATCATTAGCACACCAAAGATATTCAAGTTTAAATCTCAATCTTGGGCCAAAATCGTGAGGTGCTAAGATGGTCTTCAGGTGTCTGGAGGCTATTGAGGTCTCAATAGGGAGGAATAGCTTAGGAATAATTCAGCAGCTCTCCAATTCCAGAGAAATACCATATTTAGCCTTGGACAAGGTCTTGTACCTGTAGACAGAATTGGCTTTTAACTTGGGAGTCATCTTGGATTCATAGCTCCTGACTGAGGAGCAAGTGGTGACCATAGCTAAGGGGGCCTTTGCACAGTTCCGTCTAGAGTAACAGTACGATGCCTTCTGAAATGAGAGGTTCTACAGGCAGTCCTCACTTAATGACCACAATAGGGACTGGAAAAATTGGTTAAGCGGGGCAGTTGTTAAGAGAATTGGACCCAATTTTATGACCTTTTTTGCGGTGGTCGTTAAGCAAATCACTGTGGTTGTTAAGCAAATCATGCAGTCATTAAGCGAATCCAGCTTCCTCCATTGATTTTGTTGTCAGAAGCCCCCTGGGAAGGTCGCAAATGGCGATCATGTGACCCCAGGATGCTGCAACTGTCCTAAGTGCAAGTTGGTTGCCAAGTGCCCAGATTGCGATCACATGACTGCGGGGGTGCTGGGATGGCCATAACTTTGGGCACTGGTCATAAGCCACTTCTTTTAACACTGTTGTAATTTCGAACGGTCACTAAAGGAATGGTTGTTAAGTGAGGACTAACTGTACTCAGTTGGACTACTGCAGTGTACCTTACAGCTCCCTTGAGGAGCATTCAGAAGCTGCAGCTGGTCTAGAATCAGTGGCTCACTCCCTGATTTGCCACTATAACACCAATACTTTGAGAACAGCACTGGCTACTAGTTGGCTTCCAGGTGAAATTCAAAGTGCTGGTTGTCACCCTTAGAGTCCTTCCTTGCTCAGGACCCAAATACCAGCAGGACTGCCTACATCCAAGAGTATCTGCCTATCCAACAAAATCTTGTAAACTGGGCTCCTTCCAGATGTCTATGCAGAAACACCAAAGCAATAGGGTCGAATTTAAAGTCACAGAGACCATAAACACCATAGTGGGTTTAAAAAGAAAATGGTGCCAAATCAATTGGAAAAGGCCTGGATCTGGCTGCACTAGGGATTTTCTGCCACGATCAAAACCAGAGAAAGCCCCCTCTTTTCCTGTACTCCAGAGCTCTGTGTGTTTGGACAAGCTAAGTAAGGGTAGATGGAGAGACAAGCGACAGACTCCACGACATTCAACAACTTTATAAGGAGCTCCCACGTGGTCTTGCCTATTCATCAGACATGGCCCTCACCTTTCCTTCAGGAGTTCAAGGCAGCCTCCACGGGGATCTTCCTTTATACTTATCCCCACAATAGCAATCTTGGGAGGAAGGTTGGGCTGAGAGAATGTACCTTGTCCAGAGTCACCCAGTGAGTTTCCATGGCTGGTGGTGGATTTGATCTCCCCAGTTCTACTCCAACAACCTAACCACTATACCAGTGTTTCTCAACCTCGGCAACTTTAAGATGTGTGGACTTCAACTCCCAGAAGCGATCTTCCTCACCTTCGTTGTGCTGCGCCCGACGCTTCTCATCCCGTGTTGTCCGTGGAGCTTCCGACTTCCTGGGAAAAGCAAAAGGCAGATCTAATTCTACACTCAAAGCTGCATTGTTAAATTTACATTGTGTCATAATTTAAGAGAGGACTTCTATAAATGCTGTATCGTTGGTATATGACACCGGTTAAGTTGTTAAAAATGTACAAAGGAATATCACATGAATGCTGGAAGTATGAAAAGGAAGGGGGCTTTTCATCATGGATGGACTTGTGAAAAAGCAAAGAAATTTGGGCGCAAACTCATACATTGATGCAAAAGATATTGTGGATTAATATTATGATGAAACCGGAATTATTTCTATTGGGCCTTATGGACACTGGAAAAGAAATATGGGAAACTAATATTGTGAATGGTAACTGTGACAAGATTATTTTCCATCTGTTTTCCATTTGTTTTTTTTAACTTTTTATACTTTAATTATGTTGAAACATTCTAATAAAAATATTTTTAAAAATAATTCTACATTCAAAGTTGCATTCACAAATCCCAAGAGAGTCCCTAGCAAACCAATTCTGGCAAGTCGGAAACACCAAGAAAAAAGCCCCCCCAATTCAGACGTCGGCCAGAATGACATTAAATATGGGGACCGGCACTCACGGTGAGTAGGGGTGCGTCCTGGGGGCAATGGACCGCTGGGTTCCGCTCTGTAGCACCTCCTGTGGTGACATCATGACAAAAAATTGCCCTGATTCAAAGTGGGAGAGAGAAAGCCTGGTTTTACAAAATACTCTAAAACTACGTAACAACAACTACATATACAGAAGACGCTATGTTCAAACAAGTAAGAACGACTGTCGTGGCCTGATTTTCACAACATGCTGAAAAGAAGGGTTGGGTTTCCCCTGAATGACCAACCCATTTCAGTCCAGCAAAAAGTGCTGTGGAAACCCAGCCTGAGGTCCGTGCCATTTCTGTACTGAATTTTTTTTTAAAAGTTATCTTGTGTGAATCAGATGGATTTCTTCTTCCAGTGTGGTACGATAGTTCTTTTAACTAACCTCTGTGCCTGAAAAGTCCCCAATTCTTGATGTTCTGAAGCATTCCAGAAACTGGAGATGTAGTCAAGAACACCTCAACCTGAACACACCACTATCAATCCAGATTCACACCCAAAATGTGGCAAGTTCAAACAATGGGTTCCAGCTCCTGAATTACATCTCCAGCAAGTCAACTGACACCAATTCTCATTCAGTACTCTCTATGGTACCCATATATACGGTTCTGTTTTTGTTCTGTTAACCTCATTTTAAGTTCAACATTGTATTACGATAAATTATTTCTGTGATCTAGTGACCCATATTAAACTTAAAGCTGTTCCCCAAACAAATAGGGATGCAAACACTGGCAAAGGTTTTCACTGGGTTCAAATAACAAATCAAGCTGAGCTCAAAGAAGAGCTGAATTGTGAAGTTCCTTATTTCACACAGTGGCATCCTTTCCTAGATCAGAAGACCCTTCAGACAATCACTCACCCCCTGGTCATCTCACAGCTTGACTACAGCAACATGCTCTACCTGGGGCTGCCCTTGAAGATCCCCTGGAAGCTTCAACTGGTCCAGAAAACAGCAGTGATGGACATGCCTCAGGATGCCCATGGAACATCCCTGTTTCATGAGCTGCACTGGTTGCCAGCTTACTTCTGGCCGCAGTTCAAGGTGCTGGTCATTATCGACATGGCACAGGGCCTGGTGACTTGAGGGACCGCCCGTTTCCCATAGTATCTGCCCGGCTGATTCAATCAGGCAGGATTGGCGCTTCGATTAAACGACGCCACCTCTTGGGCCTCCAGAAGCATGCCTTCCCTGCCATCTGGAATGAGGCTCCCCCAAGATCTAAATGGCCCCCACTGTGCTGGTGTTTTGAAGACACTTGAAGACCTGACTCTTCTCCCAGGCCTTTGGCGAGGGTGACTGAGGGCCCCTTTAGACTATGTGTGTTGTTTTCCTTTGTTCCTGTCTGGTTTTGTCATCCTGCCATCTTTACCCCTTTTTTCATCTTTTTTCTTGTTTTTAATATTTTAAACAATTTATAAACCACCCAGAGTTGCTGGGAGTCGGGCAGCATACAAATTTTGATGATGATGATGATGCTTGAAAAGTATAGAAAGTTAAATCTACCTTCTCTTATTAGTAATTTTAACTTGCACACTAAAAATCCTGGATTATATCTTTAAAAAAATATCCTGTAAATTCATTTAAAATAATGGGATAATATCAATGTAGAAAGTAATCACAAAAAGGAAGTAAGTCTTGAAGTAAAATTACATATGGATCTTCCAAAAAGTATTCAAGCAATTCTAGACCATCTGTGTAGCTCTTTTTTCATTTGCATCAGATCTATCAGATGAAAAAACTTCCTGGGAATTCTGATACCAATAAAGTTAAGGAACCAGAATACACCCTAAAACTCCTTATACTACCAAAATTACAGTATGACTCAACGGCATCAAGTCTGATTTTAGGACTGTGCAGCATTTGAAAGTCAAGGGCAAAGAGGTGCACAGGAGAGAGCAAGTACAGGAGGGTTACTTTTGAACCCTCCAGATACAGTGGTACCTCTACTTACGAACGCCCCTACTTACGAAAATTTCGAGATACGATCAGCTCTGGCCCCAAAAATATACCTCTACTTACAAACTCGCCTCGACTTACGAGCCGTTTTTCCGCCCGTTCCACGTGGTCCACGGCCATTTTCCGCCCGTTCCACGTGGTCCGTGGCCATTTTTCCACCCGTGCCACATGGTCCGCGGCCATTTTCTGCCTGTTCCACGTGGTCCGTGGCCATTTTTCCGCCCGTTCCACGTGGTCAGTGGCCATTTTTCCGCCCCTGACACGTGGTCAGCGGTCGTTTTTCCGCCCCTGATGTGTGGTCCGCGGACGCCGGAACGGATTAACGGTAATTACATTGATCCTTATGGGAAAATTTACTTCAACTTGCGGCCAAATCGACTTCCGATCAGAGTCACAGAACGGATTAAATTCGTAAGTAGAGGTACCACTGAAATTACAAATCAATCCTCTCCAATAATTAAAACACAGAGTCATCACTTATGTCTGGTTATCTATAGTTAACAGGGTAAAAATGCTGCGGGGGTGCCTGAGAGTGGAAGTTTCCTCAGAAGATTTGCTACAAATATGAGTTGGAAACTGGAAATATAATTTGGGAACTGGAACATTAACTAATGGTCTAGGCCAGTGTTTCTCAACCTTGGCTACTTTAAGACGTGTGGACTTCAACTCCCAGAATTCTCCAGCCAGCTGGAATTCTGGGAGTTGAAGTCCACACATTTTAAGAGTATCCATGGTTGAGAAACACTGGTCTATCCTAATAGGCGTATCCAATTATCACTTCCTTTTGCTCTGTCAAAAATGATTTGCAAGTCAAAAGACACCCACATTTATCAATGTAATACAAAGTAATGATTTGTGGAGGTTGGGGGTAGGGAGAGCAAAAGAATTATAGCCCAGGCTGAGGCTGGAGCCTGGACCTGACCTACATCTGACCCAGTCCAGCCCAACTGACCTGTGCCGGTGGGTGTAGCTTGTCCCAGAAGGGCATCTGAGTTCTGGGTCGTGACCACTGCAGTAGTCCCTGCTCCGGCAGAGGTGCTGGTGTCAGCCACTGCAGTGGCAGGGTAGTAGGTATAGTGGGTCTCAGTGGCCGTGGCTTCTGTCTCCACAGCATCTTCACTTGTGAATGCTCCCTGGATGACAGCCTGAGGAGAAAGGGTGATGAGAGGGTGACACGCTCTCTTCATGAAACTGCCTTGAAGAGGCTGAGCCCTCCTAGGGCAAAGGGAAAAACAGAGAACATGCTCTAGGACAGTGTTTCTCAACCTTGGCCACTTTAAGACGGGTGGACTTCGATTCCCAGAATTCCCCAGCCAGCACAGCTGGCTGGGGAATTCTGGGAGTCGAAGTCCACCTATCTTAAAGTGACCAAGGTCGAGAAACCCTGCTTTAAGAGATTTATTTCCCTTTTGTCCTTCAATCTGACCTTCAAGTCCAAATTGATATGGGAGAGTTAGAAGATTCCGTGGTGGATCTGCTCAGACCCCAACAACCTATTAAGGCCTCCCAGTGGATCCCACAAAGCAGAAGAACAGCTGGGCTGGATTGGGTCCTCTAGTGTGGCATACCAAACGGCGGACGGCCAGAGACATCTCAGAATCAGGGCCTGAGGGATATTACCATTCCCCATCATTTGCTTCTAAACAAAGGCCACAAAGGTCCAGATACCCCAATTCATGGGGTAATAGACTATTCAGAGAATAGTAGACCCTTGATTGATTTGTCTAACTCATGTTGCACTGTTCAGATGCAGCAAGCAACTCCAAAAAGGAGAATCTCCTTTTATTTGCTGCGATTGTGCTGCTGATATATGTCTGGTGTTGAATTATCAAATTTAATCAAAAATGGGGGATGCAACCCTCCTTCTCATTTTTCTCAAACTCTCCCCTCACCCACCCAATCCCAAACATCAGCATACTCTGTAAAATAGGACTGGGCAATCCAAACGTCCCATTCAGCCTCATGCCCACATTTCTGTAGTCTGCTGTCTCCATGATCCTGTTGGCCATTTACTGACTTTCAGCAGTATAATTTTGAAAAAGGTGAGGCTCCCTGAGAAAACAAATTGGAGGATCTCAAGCAGCATGATCTCCTCTCCTTCCTGGCAGAAGCCCATGTTGAAGCATCCTGAGATCCACCTGCATTTAGAGCAGTGTTTCTTGGTAACTTTAAGATGTTTGGACTTCAACTCCCACACAAGATGTGTGGTTGAAGTCCACACATCTTAAAGTTGCTAAGGTTGAGAAACACTGAGTTAGAGGATTCAGCCCAACAGCAGGGCTACTCTTCATCTCCAGCAGGACCACCTTCCTCTTCTGCCAAATTGGCAGAACCTACCTGAGTCATGGACTGTGTTGCAGGGTAGCCGCTGATGGCCCCACTGCCCTCCGTCTGCCCATCCAGTTGGCCCTCGGCCACCTGTATCACTCTGTACATCAGCTGAAGGAAAGACCAAAAAGAAGCTGGGACAACTGGGGGTGGTGAACATGGTAAACAGAGAACAGGTAGCTTTGAAATGGGCTTAACCACAATATTCAGCAGTCTGTCTCTTGGTTCCACCCATCTCACAGAACTGCTTAAATTCAAAACAGACAGAACCCAGCAGCCATGATTCATTCAGATGCTGAGAACGCTTCTGATACGGTTTCTGAAGCACCATTCATTCAGTGCCGTCATAACTTGGAATGGTTGCTGACCAAATGGTCGTAAACTGAGGACTACCTATGATCAGTTTAGCATCCTGTCTCATTACTTTATCAACTGGAGAAATCCAGACTTTAAATTAACAAAAGAATCAGAACAGAATCTTCACTCAAACATTTCTAGGAAGCTTTCTCAAGTGATAAATTTGAACTTATTTTGACATAAATGAAACAAATAAGATTTAGACGAATGATCTAGAATTCTTTTAACTATTTGAGGTAGGATGTGACCCGGATTATTTAATTCCTATGTTAATTTATATTTTAGGTTGTCTTCTTTTTAATTTCTTTTTTTAAAAAAATCAAATTCATACATCATTAAATTTCTTTTGGCAAGTGCATCCTTTGAAATTTTCACTGCAGAAAACTGCTTTTGGGAAAGGTACATTTTTCAGATAAGCATTTGGGCATTTATTTTAGCTTCAGGTCAATGGTGGCAACCAAGGATTTCAGAATCCAGCTCCTCTCTGGGCTGAAGTTTAGGCAAGAACCTTGTTTCTTCACAGATCAGTTTTAGTATCTGTATTTAATGCTGGGAGGCATACAGAAAGTATGTAGAAAATATTAGGTCACATGTATAATCTTGACCTTTTTAACATTGAGAAGGTTGTATTTTTTTTGGCTAAATGAGGCCTCTCATTATTATCTTGGACCATTCTGAATGAGTGGTTAACAGAGCTTAAATTGAGTTTGACTTAATTTATGGTGCTTCTTGGAAATTTATTAAGCTTAAACATTTGTGATTTGGACTTTTGATTCTGATACCACTGCTGCTTTTTAGAGTGGATTTGAAAGACTCAGTTGTAACTCTTAGTCACCCATTTTTATATTGTTGAAAGAATTGAATGAAATTGATGTTAATTATTTACATGGCCTTTATTTATTTATTTATTTATTTATTTATTTATTAAATTTCTCCCCGCCCATCTCCCCCCAATGGGGGACTCTGGGCAGTT